GAACAGTAGAAGGGGGGGGGGGATTTTGACAGTTTTTGATCCAGCAGGTTGACATGCATGATGTTGAGGTTATACTGATGAAATTGTTTGACAATTTTGAACAGAACATTTGTTGTTGATTGCCCAACTTCGTTTTAAAACTTGATTTTAGACCATGAGAGCCTGAGGCAAGCACCTTTATGTCTTTTGAAAAGTTAGCCCAACTCACCGTGCATTCCAATGCTATTTATTCCAAGGTGTTCAGTTAACCACTCATCATGGAACGACCAGCAGTGTGTGGCGTAGTCCAACTTAAAAATCACAGCGTTCCTAAAAGTGGTTATTTTTGTGTCATGTGTTTCTGTTATTAACAGATCGAGGGCTGCACTAAGGCAAAATGTGATGCCACACCAACCTCAACATCTGTCCTGGAAGGCCCACTGAAAGGCATCAGGTCTCTGCTCCAGGACTTGAGGAGCAACAAGTCCCATAACCCAAGTAAAATGCTGAGTGAACTTCCATCAAAGACCAGCAATCTGTTAGAGTTGATCAGCTTTGGGGATAACTACATTACAGATTTGATCCATTTCAAGGATAAAATGAACACACTGCCCTACCATGTCATTGTCAAGTGAACACACTGCCCTACCATGTCATTGTCAAGTGAACACACTGCCCTACCATGCAATCGTTAAATAAACAAAGTGTCTTTATAAGTCAATGACAGCCATCTCATACATTATTTATTTTATTTTTTGTTATGTGTTGATTTTATTATTATAAAGTAGGATTATTATATGTGTCTAGTTTACAAAAAAACATTTTGAAGAATCTTCTTAAGATTTGTGTCTACTTTATTTGAATGATAATTTTCACATCTTATAAATTCTCTTCAGATGTGTGATATGGCTGTTCTTCTGTTCCACCCCTATAATCTCTTAAGCACAAGTCAGATATAGCTGTCCAACTGTTCTCTTTTATAAACTCTTTAAAAAAAAAGTCAAATATAGCTGTCCTACTTTTCCTTTCTATAAACTCTTTTCATGATAAGTTGAATATAGCTGTCCTACTTTTCCTTTCTATAAAGTGTTTAAAAAAGTCAAATAGAGTTGTCCTATTTTTAAAAATATAATATTTATTGGACTGTTGTACATATTTTCAATAGTTAAATCCAATGTTCGAATGACAACCTTGCATGACATACCCTCATTCAAGGCTTGTTAAATAAATAAGTCAAACAAATCAAACAAATACTAGGTTCAAGTAAGAATTAAATCTCGCAGGTGGACCTCTTATATTAAGTCAAGGATCTTTTCATTTTTTTATCTTTCTCCGAGGACATGAACTAGAAAACATTTTTCATTGCATGCAAGAAATCTTGACAATGGACTAAAAATATTAATTTCAGATAAAATGGGAAATATTAAAATCTTAGATGTATCTTTAATTTATCCATTTGTGACTTGCAAAAATATAGGAAATAAGACATAGACCTATTTAGATAACTTTTTTCCAATCATTCTCACATAGAATTGTATGGACTGAGGTGATACATTATTTGGGAGCTTTCATTGGTCGCATTGTGATGACAACACAAAATTTTAGTGCACATTATAAGTATAAGTATAATCGGATTAAATTTGCCAGTTTGATAGGGGTGAATACATAAAAGATATTGCTTGAATTCCTAAATTTGAAAAAAGATTTTCTGTTCTTAACATCGATGTACGTCATACCATTGTTTGTAAATAATCAACCTTTTGGTGCCATCACCATGGAAACGGGGATGAAATGTATTCAGAGTGTTTAGTGCATGCCAAAACAGAAAAAGTACAGAAAATAAATTTTCAATGAATACGAAAATAGGTTTTGATATTTCTTTCATTATTTCTGTTGAAATATTTTATATTTTGAAGTTGGTCAAATTTTTTTTCTGTGTGGATAAGTGTATTTCAATAACAATATGAATTGTGTCATTATTTTTAATATATTTATGAAAAAAATATTAAGTCTGTTTCACAGACCAACACAAAATCTCTGTGTACTTAACCCGCTAATTTAAAAAATGGCACCAGTTTTCTTTTTCCAGTAGCAGCTTGTGAGATACTGAACAACTGCCATTTTCCAAACATGAAGTGTCATATTAAATCAATACAAAATTGTGTTTATATCACACCAAAAGAACACATTGAACACATTTATTAAACAAATTATCCAGCTATTCCACACAGAAAAAAAAAATGTTGTACACCCTGTGAGTGTAAGATATACTAGGACAATGATATATGCTAGAACCGTGAATTTATGTTAAGACTTTGAGATATATAAGACGGTGAGATAGGCTAGGACAGTTGTTGTTCCAGGCTGAATCACATTCTTATAAGTCTGGAGGCAAGCAATTCAGGAAGAGTTCGTGGAAAGATTTCTTTTCTGATTAGACTTTTCCACTGAATCTGATCAAAACATCCACTTCCGCTATTGGGAATGGTTAAATGACTATCACTGCCACAGATTTCTTTGCCTGGTATAATATAAGACATGCAAGATTTATTCTGAGTGCCGATGTGGAGTGCAAATCATTTCTCCTGGCTGGAGGTAGGACAAGTAAAGGGAACTGTAGGTAGATAAAGGTAAGAACACCAAATTTGTTGGCCAAGTGATAAAGTGAAAGATTAAGAAATATGGAGTTGTTATTGAATGATGAAAGATTTGCTTCCTTAAACAATTATATTTTTGTCCGGAAAAATTCATTTTTACCAAATATAAATAGTGTACCCCAGTGTGTTTAACATCGTTAGAATAGAGATGTTCCTTTACAACTGGCTTGATGTAGCTTCTGGATTTATGAATGGATAGGCTGCTATTTAAATCAAATTTTATTCTAGTGACACAAATTACATGACGAAAGAGTTTTTTTTAGACCTCAACGCCTCAAAACACACATATTTAAAATCATTATTTAATATTATGTTTCACAATATAACATGTTTATAAGTTAAATCATTCAATAATGCAGATTGTAATTGAGATAAAAGCATAAAACTCACGTAAGCTAATTATTTTCATAACTTATTGTCAGTAAATGAATGAGACAGTTCTCACACAACTTGGAATCAATTACATTTTTAAAATCAGAATTGTAATGGATATAGAGTTTCTGTTGTCACAGGAAAATAAAAATCACTAAATGTCAAAATAGGTAATAACAATTAAAATAGAAAACAAATTCACTTAAAAGCCAAAGCGACATCAGGCGCTAGTGAAAATAGGATGAAAAGAGATTTACAAATATATTTACATGTTTGCTGACACACAAAAACACTGGTAGATAATTCTAAAAATATATTTGGGTTTTGAAAATTTCATGATAATGTTTCAAATATAATGGATTTTTAAAATATATATTTTTAATGAATGTTGGCACATGATAATAAACTTGGAATTATTATTTGAATTAAATCAAATATCCAGCTTGGGGATCAAACTTAAAAAACAGATGTAGATAATTTTGTGAAGACTGCAAGCATGCTGTATAGTAGGAAATATTAAGAAAAATTTATTGGAAAGCTTGAAACACAGTACAAATGTTTTGTTTAGAGAGTTGCACAAACAAAAGAAAGTGAAGAAATAAACTTGTCTTAAAATAAAGTTGTTCTCAAAATAGAAAAGTGACCAGCAATATTGACTTGTTTGACTTCAACCAACATCATCTATATGCTTGTTGGTACGTGGCATAAAATTGAGGCTAATATCTGGCCATGATGAATACTGCTAGAATAAAATGCTAAATACTGACCTTTATAAATATTGCTATATCAAGAATGCTAACAGTGGTGTAGGATGGGGGAAAAGATGTCATGTTACTCTAACCAAACTCCAATTATATTTTTTGTATAAAAATAATCCCCTTTTCCATATTTTTTAATAAAATCTTTTATGATTGATGAAATATTATTTTCATTCTAATTCTGCGAGACCATTAGCATTGCATTTCCTTTATAGTTTAACTGAGATAGAGATTTGCTAGATTTGTGAGCATAACAGTTTTTCATATTCAAGCAACTGTACATAGACCCTGAATCGACATCATTTAATTAATTTAATATGACATACGAATAATGAATTTGCCATATAGTTTTTGAAATACAATAATATAACAAACTCATTTTTAACTAAGTTCAATTACAAATAAAATCCTCAAAAGTGGAACAAATAAGAAACCAATTAAAAATATGCCTGCCAACAAATGCAAAAAATGCACTCGAGGGGCGACTTTAATCTTTTCTTTTTCATACAAAAAATTATGCATGGAACTTTGTAAACATTTTTGTAAAAATTCATGGATTTAGCAACAAAAAGCATCAGTTTACCGTCTCACCTTGTCATAGTTGTAAAATAGTCATTTATAATGTTTGCATAAAGGACAATATAATTAGGGAGGCCACAATCATAAACTATATTCCAATTATTTTGTCTTGTGCAGTGCACACCGTTGTGCCGGATGGATGCCAAAAAATATTAAATTACTTCAAACAGAAAGTTATCAAAGATATTATTTTACTTCTACATGGGGGGGGGGGGGGGGAAATAGTTTTTTTTGAAGATTTTGAAGGAAAGGTAAGAAAACTCATATATGACATTATAACATATGTACACAGAGAAAGATATCACAGCTCTCAAATATTGTTTCTCTAAATTATTATTTATTGCAGCTTATTAAAATATAGTTTGAAAAAAAACTAAAAAGACCCTAAAAAGAGCCATAAATTTATAAAACTTAAATATCAAAGAAGTTGCTGATGAAAAAATTTAAACAGGAAACATCAAATTTAAGGTACTTCTTTGTTATAAAAAAATTATTCCATAATTTGTAGAGTCATCAATGATGAAGAAATAGAATGTAAAACCATTTTTCATATCTTTGAAAATAAAATAAAAAATGTAAATAGAATTCTTCACAGTCTGTGAAAAATCTCTTTATTTCAGCAGTATTTGCCATTTTTTTTGTATTAATTTAAAAAGGCAACTGAACACAGGACGCTGTTTTTCTCTGATAAACTCAACTAATAACAGGTACAGGTATAAACAACACAAAAAACGATAATGCTCAAACTAACTCATTACTCTTATGATTAAGTCAAAATGACAATCACTTTTAGTTAGAACCACCAACTTCAAATCCAACACTTATGACATTAATCTTTAGCACTAATCACCACCTACAAATCCAACACTTATGACATTAATCTTTAGCACTAATCACCACCTACAAATCCAACACTTATGACATTAATCTTTAGCACTAATCACCACCTACAAATCCAACACTTATGACACCAATCACTGCTGCAGCCAGTCCAGCAACAATAACACAGTGAGCTAACAAAATTATCTTTTTGATAGTTGATATCTGAAAATGAATAAGAAAATTTTAAACCATTAAAAAAAAATTATTAAGACATAAAAAAACAAAATCTTTACATCAATTTAAATGTACTTAAACATGCATAATGCAGCTATTTTGCACATAGGGCAATCAATATTAATTTCTTTTTGTGTGGTAAATACCTTATGACTCTCCACTGTGTCTTTTTGTGGCTCAGTGGGTTTATTATTCATCTCATAAACTTCCTTTTCTTCTGAAATGAGGAAATCAACTCAAATGAAATCTTCATTAATAAAACTGGTCATATTGAATCAAGTTACGTGGTTTAATTGGTGTGACATCATAGCCGATTATCTCTTTGATTTTTATACATCGATTTTGGAATGTCAAGACTTATTGATACTTTGCTCCACAAAGAATAATTATTCTGGGAAACAAATCAATGTATTAATTTTGAAATAAATAATCAAACATTTTTTTTTGTGAGACCAATGTTAGTTATATTGGGACATGAAGTTTTTGCTTCCAGAGCCTTCACAATGATGGAGACCATTTAAAATGCCTCAAATAATCTTCTTGCATTAACATCAATGGCAACCACTTAAGTTTAACTACTTTCTATTTCTTGCTATTTTTTTCATTTGTCCTATCTGCTGAGGAAGGCTCTTAGCTGGAACGTTCTTTTTTTACATCCTGTCTTTCTATTTCAAGCATCCACATGCCTTGCTCTTCTATTTTCTCAGACAATCTATTCAGGATTAATTGTTGTTTTTCTCACATTTTCATGCGGATGCTGAAGTAGTGAAGCACAGTGTCATTGTTAAGGTCATCTATTTTTTTCACTTCAGCTGTTCCGGAGTCACATTCCAACAGAGTGCTGTGAAGTTTCTTCCAGTCCTAAGGAATCTCCTTGATGTTAACTGTTGAGCTTCTGTCATGTTTTCCTTCTCCTCTCAGGACACCTTTTTTTTTCATTTCTCCAGGCTGATGTTTATGAAGCTTCTTTAGTTCTTCAATAGTCAACTGTATTTCATCCCCTTCTATTAAACCCTCCACATTAACTTCAGTCATACCTAAGTCCAGATCCTTAGGCTGCCACAATGTCCTTCATGACTTGGCCTCCATTAATAACATGCTAGTAGCCTTGAACATAGTCTGGTGACAGGTTTCTCATGAAAGATTTCAGCCTGAATCTGACTGACATTTCTGATGCCATCCAGATTGTAAAGTTTTTCTGTTCAAAATTCTGTCAAAGTCAGAGTCCAGGGGACAATAGGCATTAAAAATGATTATTTGATTTTTGTGTCAATTCAATTACTTTGTACACTTTTATTGAGGGTGTGACACTTGTTTCATATCATAAAGATTCAGAATGAAATATCAAAAACTTAAAAAATACATAAACAATACATAAAGGAAATGTTTACAAAAGGTTATTTTAATCAGGAATCAAATATGGTTCAAACACATGACACTTTGTTTTCCTCTTGTGACCTTTGCCCCTTTTGATTTAAGTAAAATATCTTTTTTAATATCATAGCTGCATTTTTCTCTTTATGCTATATTATAAGACCTATCTTACTGATCTTATGGTTTGATTTTTGCTTATCTTATTTTGTATTTTAAGCACTCTAATGCAGATGTAAGTTAAAACTGCTGTTATCTTGAAAGATGATTTTTGGTTCAATGGAGGTATCTGATCCATAACGTGTTGAAATTGTGATGATGCCGGCACAGAAATGCTGACTTTGTTAGCTCAATAATTTATCTCTTCAAAAGCAGAAGTGCTAAACACTATCAGTCACAGACTTTTAAAGAATCAAAACTGTGATGTTCATACTATATCACCAAGGAGAAACTCTGCAAGATACATGATGTCTACTATATACATCTAGTCACAATAAGATTTATACAAATATCTAGTAACCACATCTAGTCACTATTAGATTTATACATATTCACTAAAAAAATCCAGTCACAATTATATTTATAGGCCTACATATCTTCTAAATAAATCAAGTTACAATTAGATTCATTCTTACCTTTCTTTTTGCCACAGTAATTTATCAATCCCAGAAGTAACTCCACAAATAACTGCCATGCTACATAAGCAGCTAATATGTAGATGGCATAATAAGGAGTAGCAGAACTTTGAAGTCTGACCCCAAAGAAAATGGTAGCAACTGATGAGGACATAATACCAGAGTCAAAGTTTCAATTTTAGAAATAAAACAAGCCCCCTAATAATTATGTTGATATAATCAAGGATAGTTTTCACAAAATTCGACACATATATTTATTTGTCTTTATCAAAAATGAATGATTAGAATGATTCTGATGAGTAAAGTGATAAAATTAGCAATGATTGATACAACTCTTTTTCTGGGCTAACGACTTTTAAATGTTTGGCTTTTTTAAATACCGATCATCGGCAGTCAATTATTTCATTTATTTAATATTTTAAAAAGAACAATAAAGGATGTACTAAAAACTAAACTATATCATAAGTAACACTTGTTTACAAAATCCACAGTGCATCGTCTTGGGGCAAAGGGAGGGGGAAGAGAGCACTGTTTGTGCATTTTTACTTTTTATTATTTTAAAATAGATGAACAATCAATGAATACTAGACATTAGAAAACACTAGACCAATGTTAAACAAGCTGGTTTACCTCCCAACATGTGTGTAGCTAAGCCAGCCAGCATGTGAGCCCAGTTAAAAATGACCCGTTTCGATGTTCCTGGTTTTGGGCGGAAGAGAGCCATAATAGGCTGAAATAAATGGAATAACATCAATCAGTATAAATTACAGTATTCCAGAATGAAACTTATTTTTATTTTAATTCTAAAAAATTAACACAGTCTGGGAACAAATCTTTTATAGTATGTAATTATTTAAAGTGATTGATGAATTAATGTTCATGTAATTCTTTTTTTGTTTCAATTTTGTCAAAGAATTCACAACAATAACTGTCCTTGTAACAAGACACACTTACATTTAGAATTGTTAGAATCATAACAATAACGCCCATAATGGGATGACCTGACAAATATTTATCCTCATCTTCAATCTGAAATTTGTAGACATATCTGGTTAGTAAAATAATTTAATATGAATTCAAACATGAAAGTGGTACATAATAATAAAGAAGTGACAGGAAATTTATTTTAAGCTTTTAGGGTATTTTTGGTGGTAATCGGTAAAATGTAAGAAGCATCTCTTATGTTTATGAATACCCCATGACTACCCCATAAAAAAATTTCACAAGTTTCAAAATAAATTATAAAGAGTTTAAAAAATTTTAGACACCCCTTATATTTGCAAATTTTGACTAGTCACATTGAAAATATCCTCTTTGAAAAATATGTCAATATTTAAAAGGAAATGAGGGACACAAAGTATGGGAAAACTTGAAAAAAATGTTGCAACGAAAAAATAAATGCGTTGGCAAGGACTTCTTCAGTGAAAAAACAACAATAAAAACATCTATTTTGTTTTTACTACTGTTTGTTCACTGAAGAAGGCTTCTTGCTGACACGTTCGTTGTTTGGTTGGGTCCTTTTTTTCAGGTTTTTACTAACGTTGTTTGGCTCATTTACTTTTACCTAACCTGATTGCAGTCTCTTCCCCCCTTATTATCCTTCATATATTAAAAAGTACTCTTTCCCTAAAATAAAAAATGTCTAATAGCTTACAACACTCCATTCTCCTTTTTCATTCACAAAAATAATGATAAATCCTGCAGCTGTAACTAGCAGCACAAGAACCATTGTTATTCTGTGCACCTGTAGATAAATATTTTGGATTAGTCAACATTGGCCTATATTTTTACTTTTTAAAAAGTTTGGTAAAAGTTCGGACATATCATGGCAACCAAGATGTTGGCAATGTAAAAAAAAAAAAAAAGTAGTGCCAGCACACATCTACTAAAATGGGCAGGGAAAAGAGAGCATATGCTGCTTTAGCTCCATACTGAGAGAAAAGAAAAAGGGAACAAATATGTAAAATATATTAGTCACACCCTTGCCTGGCGTGATTACAGCCGGTACATTAACTTTGTGGTGAACATAACAACTTTGATTGTATCCCTCTAGATATATAGCAAGAAGTCTCAATGACATGCAGTCACTCCATTCCCACTTCTAAAACATGTGTGCTACAATAACAAACTGTGGTGAGAAAAGTGTGAAAATGAAGGAAAACTTAATACATTTTTTTTAAACAATGAGACCCAACTTAGAGTTTCACAGAAGTCACTTTTACACACTTTACAGCAGGTTCCACCAAAAATGAAAACAAAATGTTGTCAGAAAACTCAATATTCCATGATGCCGGAGAAAATAAGTCTCGTTTTTTTATCTCGTTTTTAATATTATAATTAACCACATGATAAATTTTTAATTTACAACATTCCAGGCCTATTAATATTTACAAAAAAAGAAGAGTTAAATCTAGTAACAAACCAATTATAATCAAAAGGGAGATAATCCTACACAGAAACTCAAAATGGTGAGCAGAAATAACATTAGTCCCAAATGATTTAAGTTGAGCCTTTGGTCCACCTAAATGGCACTGGAACAACTGGTAGCTCTTTGAAATAAGAGATGCAGCTCATTTTTATTAATACTAATTTATAATGTCTGCTGCTCCCAAAATAATTTCTTAACATATATATTTTATAAAAATGGCTCCCAACTTTTTAAAAATGTTTTACAACCTCTGGCCTAAAAAGCAGTTAAGCCAAGATTTGTAATCATGGACATCACTTTGAAGCAGTGCCTTTTTTATAGAAAAATATACAGGAACCTTCCCCCCTGTAGACGCTCCTGGACCAGGCAACCTTCACATTTTATTCTGTCTTTTTTATATTGGTAACAAAATATAAATTGAAATTAAGACCAATTAAGCTACTAAAATCATTTTTAGCATATTTTCTGTAAGCTAGAACAGGTGAATAGACGTTACCTGAATGATCCTTTTATAAAAAGAGTAAATAATGACCAGTGCTATAGCTAGGGATAGTGCCAGCTCCACCCCAGAATACTCTGCAGTTGGCTGAAATTAAGCCCCTCGATATAGGGAGAGAGAAAGTGCTGTCCCCTCCTTTACATACCAGTGATAATGAGCACCAACTGAATGAGATTATTTACGACTAGCTGTGGTGTCACTCACTTGAAACCAAACTTTCTGAGAGCACATTGTCTCTGTCCACACAGGTTTGTAATGTCTGGCCATTATAATGCCAATACTGGCCAGGAAAATCCACGCTGCTACCATTAGGCAACCTAAGGATGGAAACGGTTTGTGAGAGATATTTTGAAAGGCTAGTAACGATAACAAACAAAAATGAAGCATGTATCAATAGATATGTTTACATCATAGAACAATAAAAGACAGAAAACATGACAAGGACTTGAAGATTAAAGACAGAATGCATGTGAAGCACAGAAGTTAAGAAAACTTAAAGGATATGTCAATTTTGTGGGATTTTTTTTCAATTTATAATTTTTCATCAGCATATCCACTCACTGCGATGAGAATAATATAGAAAAGTGCACAGTATTTATTTGAGACCACTGAGCTATGCCAGTCAATCAAGGTGAATTTTATGGATGTCAATGACAGTAAATTGTATGTCTTCTCACCAGAGAGGAAAGACAGAGCTTGACTAAAAACCCAAACTTGCATCTCTTTAACCCAACAAATCAGTTAAAAATGATGAACAACTTTCAAACAAAAATGACACACTTAGCTCAGCTGAAGTTAAAAGTGAAAGAATGAATGATGATCTGTCTAGTAACTTAATAAAATGATACAATCTTGGATCAATCATTTGGCATCAATCATTCTTGCTTGATTCATTAAAGGAAGTTACCCTACTCTTTCAAGAAATGTTTGCATTTTAAAAACATTGCAAAATGCAGGCTACAGCTGTACAATAGATTAATAAGACACAAACAAATTGTGTCAATATAACAATATAAGTTACGCTTTAATAATAATTATACGTTATACAAAAGTAAACGTTTCGGCACATGCCTTCATCAGTACAAACAAAAAACACAGTATAGAGTATACTAGTAACACTACAGATAGAATCTATATGGAGAACAAATTAATAACATTTGGTACGTTGTCTCCATATCGAATGAACCAAATCCACAATTTTACCTAGCTGCCATGTCTTTTTCCTGTTTGGTTTTTAAAATTATGTTCAAATCAATTATATTATGTAAATTTAATTTATACTTATTTAAATGTTTTTTTTTTGTTTGTACTGATGAAGGCATGTGCCAAAACGTTTACTTGTGTGTAATTATTATTAAAACGCAATTTATATTGTTATATTGACACAATTTGATTGTGTCTTATTAATCTATTTTAAAGCGATATTGCAGTCCAAAACTTTTTATAGTTGTAAAACAGCAGTCTTGAATTAACTAAAACCAAACTTATAAGTTTTTAGGTTACCATGAGCTTTCACCAGTGGTTCTGCCATTGCTATAGGTGCCATATCCACTAATGAATACACAGTCACAGCAAGCTCAGAAATGTAGTAGTCCTCACCGTGGTACTGCATATCAACTGCTCCATTAGCTGGAGAAAAAGAAATTAATTACAAATTTACACTGAACGAACAATAACAACCTTTTGGATTTAAGTTGTTATTTAAATATGTTTTACATGACACTTTAAAAAGATTTTATCTGTACCAAGTTAGTTTAAGACTTCTAATTAATAATATTTTAAAGATTTTTTCTTACTAATGGTTGCTGGGCCCCTCACAAAGAATAGTGTCCATGCATTTTTTATATTGTAACGCTTTGCTCCTGCTGTAAGAGGTCTTGTTATTACACACGTCAGCACACCATCTTCATATTTGCCACTTGTCATAATAATTTGCTAAATGTAAAAAAAAATAATTGTGGGTTAAACTTTCTTCTGGACTCCTAAATATTTTTTAAATTGAGGTAGAGATTGATTTCTTTAAATTTAAATTCTATAGATATGAGTAATTTATACATTGTAAAAAATTTGGACAAAAGACTGACATATCCCAGACAAACAGTATAATAAGTTACTTTCCATGCTATAAGTATAATGTTCTTTATTTTTAATCTGATTTGATGACTAAAAATACTTCTTCTATTTATAAAAACTACAAAATAGAAATAAGTTTGAATAAAAATGAAAACCATTGAAATCATTTTTTGTTCCTATCAAAATCAGGTTTTTTTTAAATGCAGCGGCAGTAGTTTTCTTTCTCTGTTAATAAAATGTATTTAAAATGGATATAGTTAGAGTTTAAAAATGTTGAAAGTGGTAGTTAAATCATTTTAAAGAATGAGGACAATGGTGCAACTGGATTAATAATGAGAACTAATCATAGTTAAAATTGAAACTCACACTGTCAGTGTATGGTGAAGGATTTTTACCATTATTCAGTGCAGTGATTATAACTGTATTATTAGTTCCCACAGCACAGCCCATCACATCATCTGATCCCTTTGAGAGATAAAACATTAATATGTTTGTTTAAAGAAGGGGTAACACAAAAAATGTACTAAATAACAAGGTGTATATGGAGATCGCAATCCACAATTTAAGAGCTTGCTATTAAATGTTAGAATATTTTTTAATGATATTATTATGATTTTCTAAAGATCATGTAGAAAAATTTTACCAGAATACATTTGCTCAATGTCAAAATACTCTTTTTCTCTAGTCAAGACTCTTCTAGCAACGTTGACAAGGGCATACTATAGCACTGTCACCCTATGTACTTACAACCAGGCACACCAACTATTAGAACACCAACGCTAGCAAAATATTATCAAAATTAATTCTTACCATTGAATTGTCACTTGAAAATCCAAGAGTGGCATAGCTGTAAGAATCAATTACAGTGGTCAAGGTGTAGACACCAGTGTTATTGCTCACTACTTGCCATGAAACACTAAAACTGCAGTCAGTGTTTTCGCAAGATGAGAAGCAACCCTTTGTTTTTCCACATTCCGAGTCTTTAGTAACTGACATAGCTGTATCAGCTGCAGTCTGAGGAGTTCCTAAAAGAATTGAAAGATACTAATAGGTAACAAATGGATAGTATAATAAAAGTCAAAAAGTTAATTTGTGCTTTTTTTCAAAGTGAAAACTTATACTTGGATGAATTTTTAAACATTGATTTCATATTTCAAAGAGTTTTTGCAGGACAGTGATTAAAATTAATATTTTGAAGAAAAAGTATATGGTTTTAGATATTATAAAAGGATAATTATTTCAGATTTATTGAACTTGCATTCAAAGTTAGTTGATGACTTTGACTTTGTGTGTGCACACTTTGTAGTAAGTATTTATGAATTTATAAAGTTATTCTTTGGCTCTAGAGATGAACTAACTTAAGTTGTTTAGGGTTTTTGTTTTTTTTACCTAGAAGATATTACAAAAATAAAAAATTTCATCTTAAAATGCAATGTGTAAAACCGGTATAGGCTACTCGTTAATGATTACAGATAAGGAACCTATTCAGCTGTTCTGATTCTGATAGACTGTGTTGCGGCAACCAAGTAATGGCATATGTGCAATGGTTTGGGAAATGATGCGGCTATCTTAACCGCTCCTAGTGGGTGCCAGGGCAGCCTTGAAACTCTCGATTTATGTCGAGACCATGGCGGCATTATCCAGTTGGTTCCTAGCAATTATTGTTCGTAGAAGAACGATTGTTTATCTTGAACTGTGTTACAAGTAGGGGGAGTGTGAAGCATGTATCATTGTTCCGGATGTAACTGCTCCGGATGTAACAGCTCATGGAGTTGTCAGAGGAGAAGTCAGTGATTATTGAGCATTTGGCTCAAGTGCTTAAGCCATACCAATCAAATCTTTAAAAAATATTATGAAATGATTTCTACAAACATTCTTAAAACCAGAATCATTTGAGTTCTAACTTGCACAAAAGAGACTAACTTGCCTTAAAACAGGATTGAATCTCACATCATCAGGAAGTTGAAACCTTACAATGTGATCAAACTAATACTGAGATGGCTAAAAGTTTGTGTCTTAAACAGGCTCTCAGCCTGAAGTTTTCTTACCCTACTTAAACGCTAGCAATGACCTATTCTGCTACAAAAACCAAGTAAAGAACTGATAACATTCTAACAAGTTTCCTTTATTTATTTCTTGGTTTATTTAAAGAATATTTATTATAAAAATAGTTTCAATAAATAGTTATCAATGTATATTTATTAAACAAATTAAAGTGTATCTTAAATTAAACTTAAATGAATGAATGCAATAGAACAAAAAAGTATAGTATGCATCATTTAGTATAGCATATAAATGTTCAAAGAAAATATGAATACTTTAAAAAAATTGAGATGGAAAAAATTCTTTAAAAAATTGCATTAAAAATTTGTCATTTTTAAATCATACTGTATTAACCACAAGAAAACAAATAAGCTCGAGCTCTCTCTTACTCTCTATCTATCACTCTTCCCACCCACATCCCCATACACTCACACTTTCTAATTTGTACCTCTATGTATGTAATAATTTACCCTAACTTTTCCAAATCATAAAAATAAAAAAATAATTAGGAACAAAACAATTTAATGTTTTTAAAATAATTTACAACTGAAATAACCTTTAATTTTTAAAAAAAATTAATTCAAACTAAATATCTAAAAAAGAAAAAACTATACAATCGGCGGCACAATCTCTCTAAAAATCTGTAATATAATAAAAGCTGCTAATATTTTCAAACAGTTACAATTTTTAAACAAAGTTTTTGTGTGATGTCAAACTATTTCTATCAAAAAGCTGTTAACCCTACAGCCACATTGACTGAAAAAGGCATAAAGTATTTAAAAGATATTTTGATTTGTAGAATAGAATTTTGTGCTCCAGGCAGTTGTCAGCTTTGCTTATACCAAAGCTGGCTCTGGAGATGGAGGAAACGCTTCTCTGTACTTAGTTGTACAAGTTGAGACAAATATTCTAGAAATTTTTAAAATATCTTATTGTTATTTATATAAGTCTCATGTTATTAAATTTTGTTCAGTTGATAGTATGCAAGATAAGCAATTAATAAAAAATTTGATTTTATAAGATTTTGTTATTTTTCTTCTAGTTTAAATATTGGTCCATCCTTTACAATTTTATTTTTTTAATCTTTGACCAACGTGTCACCTTCTGATCAACATTTCACCCTTTGACCAACATGTCACCATTTGAAGGATTTAGTAATGAATATTCATGATCTGAATCAACTTTCTCTATAATTTGAAATAAATAAATTAACCTTCAAGTTTGTTATTATTCCTCAATAAAACAGACACAATAAAATGTCATTTTTTAAATAAAATCTGTATCATTTATGAAACATTTATTTGTGGCATCAGGAGTCTACCCTAACAGTCAAATTTTGTTAAACTGTCTCTATAAATTATACAAATTATTTATCAAATAAGGTTTACAATGAAAATAAAAACTTTTTGAATGTAGGAAAAGTTTATTAAGCTGACATTATGTTATTTCTATTCTCTAAGATTGATTCTTCATGATACAAAATAAAATGTATATATTTATATACTACATGTGTTGAAAAATATAAGGGATGTCTACTTATCTGATTTTAAGCTACAGTGGAATAGATGATGAAATATTGACATTTAAAAATATCAATATACAATGTTGAGATTTAAAAGTTAAATATTTTCATAAATATAACAAGTTAATAATTTTAAAAAATAGTTTTCTTGAATACAAATAATTTGTGAGTGTTTGATAGATAAATGGAAAACATGGATAGCAGCCGTGTGGACGGATTAGTCAGTAAAGTAGACAATAATTTAACTTTTCCTTTTGGGGCCATCCATAAAGTACGTCACGCTCCAGAGGGGGGGAGGGGGTGTAAGAAAGTGTGACAGTTTGTGACATGGGGAGGGGGGTCAGGCCATGTGTGACTCAAACATTAATTTTTTTTAAATTTCATTTTAAATTTATTTTTATTTTTTTAATAGAATTTCACATCTTTAAAAATAATTTTTTTAAATTTTGTGAAACATTCGAATTAGTTTTATGTCAAAATAGCATGACATGCATATCTCCTGAATGTGTAGTTCACGATTCCTCTTGCTAGAAGCGCTAGAATGCTGTTGCGAAGCCTTGTTTTATGTATAGCCTTGCTTTCGTCATGCCTGAAGTATTATTATTTCTATGTTGTCCGCTGCATAATTATGTCACTGTCCTTTATATCACTAGGTGAGGTCAAGTTTCGCTAATCTACTTCTAATCCTGTGTAAAAAGATTGCCTAATTGGAAGATTATCTAAAACTTTACCTCACCTATTGTAAATGAAAAAGCAGCAGATAAATGATGTGTATTATATAATGGTCTAGTCTAATTTTTGCAATTTTTGTTTTCAAATTCAATCTAGATTGAGTTACTGCTTCATTGAATAACTGTGACAACTGTTGACAATTAACTATTCTATTATTAAAGTCATTTTAATAATGTGATAGTTCTTTTAAGTGGACATTTTTATATTTTAATAAACTTTAATAGTGAAATGTGCTTTAAATTAAATTTTAATTAGGTGTTAATTTTTTTTTTAAATTTGTTCAAAAGTGTGACATACTTTGGGGGGGGGGGGGGGTTCCCGAGATTTTTGACAGTTTGTGGCAGGGGGGGGGGGGGGGGGGTAAAAGGTCAAAAATAGCGTGATGTACTTTATGGACGGATCCTTTCCTGAAAAGAAGCTAATAGGCCCTACATGTTTTAAGTGCATTGATAAACTTCTTTAGAAAAGTCCTTTGTATATGGAGATAAACATACACAGTTTTATGCTGCAATTTTAAAATAGAAACCAATAAAAAAATATACAGCTGATAGGTGCATGTCTTATTTTAACATTTGAAATTTATCCAGGTAAGCATTTTTATGCAGAGCCAAACCTCAAAAATATTTCACACAAATTGCTTAACACTTTCTTACTCTTTAAAATATGCTGTTGGCCTGCAATCATTAAAAAAATAATTTAAGTAATTTATATTTGTGGAGAAGGGCTGATTATTTGATATTTTATTTTTGGCTTTATTCTATTATGTAAGACTATTATACGATGATGACCAGAGCTTCATAAGTATAAATGATATGAAGAATACATCTGCTGGTTGTTCAAAAGTGTGTAAAGTATAAAACAGAATTAACCTCATTAACAAGGTTATGTGAAAGACACCCAGATGTCACAAATGCATACGATATGGTTTTTTTTATGAAGATCTTCATTTTCAAAGTAAAAAAAAAGTAAAAAATTAGCCAATTATTTTTAGAATAAAATAAAGACTAATTAGGTTAAAACTGAATGAAATTTTAGCAAATCAAACTAGAAATCGGAAGCATATTATTAATACATTTCTGCTTTATAGGATTATTCAGACAGAAAAGGATACAAATATCCCAGTGGAGATAATGTTTAAGATACGTGATGTCAGTGATAAGAAGGGGAAACAAATGTTTATTGTTTCAGTTTTAATAACATTTAAATTCATTTTAAAAAAAACTCTCCTTAAAAAAATATGTTTGCATTTATATATGGACCCTGTATATAGAAGAATCAAACTCAATATTTTAGATATAAAAATCTGCATAATTTTCTCACCCAAGTGTTTTAAAAATTTACTATATTCCAAAATATATATTTAGGTAATTATGTGATTTAGATTGATTTTAATATTATAATGTTCTTCATGTTTCCACTTTCTAAAATAAATAAATCACAAAGACCAAGCACAAGCACCAAATTATAATAGATGTCATTTCATGGCAAGTTGAGGGGCTTTTGTTGAAAGATGTCTCAGATGGTGTGGAGGAATCCATCTCAAATGTCATGATGGCAGATTTTGTGGATGTTTTTGAACTGGTTGATGAAGTTGTTAAAGCTGATGCAGAAGATTTTGTTGTTACTGTGGGAAAATCAGTTGACACAGTTACAACAATTGCCTTTGTTGTTGTTGTAGTTGTTGTTGTCACTGTCATGGGAAGAAGTATTGCTGTTTATTATTGTTAACATTAATCATCCCAGTTCAAAGGAGAAAGGTTGTATCAAATATTTGTTTACATTAGATCAGCAACTCTCAACCTTTGGGCTGAATGTCCCTTACACAGGGATCGCCTGAGACCATTGGAAAACACAAATTTATGTAGTTGCAATGAAAATAATTTTATGGTTGGGAGTCACCACAACATAAGGAACTGTATTAAAGGGTCACAGTTGAGAACCACTGCATTAAATAATCCTGGGAAGTCTGATATGCTAATTTATAAAAAAATGTATTTCAAATAAGAATTATAAACTCAGAAACCCAACAATATTGAAATCCAGTAACCAAAATAAATAAAATAATCATAGCAAATCCAATAACTATAAACCATATTTCAAAAGTAAGTTACTTGCAATCAAGTTCACAAATTGAGGGATGTCAAAATGACTTCCTCCTACTACTAATCTCATTATGAGGCATGGGAGTTCTCCAATGAAATGTCTTCACAGAAATATCAAATTGAATTGAAGTTTAATTTATTGCCTTTTATAAGCTGAACATAATCCAAAAGCCACAATGGAGGTATCTTACTAAAGTTTTTTCTGCACCCAGCCTTCCACAAAATTAGCAACTTTAGGGACACATCCAAACTAAATTAAATTGAAATTCCTATATAACAGAAGCATATATAACTGAAGCAATATGGAGTCAATATAACTGGTTTAGAATACTTAGCAAATTTTTTTAGCAAATTTTTGTTTAAAAAAAAAATAATTATCTACTGGACTTAAGATATTTGTGATGATTTTCAGAAAAAAATAGGGCACCTGGCTCTAGCAATTTATTGCCAAAATAATTATGGAAGGATTATGCTCTATAATTACGAAAGAAAAAAACAAAGACAAAATAGTTGTCAAATAAGCGCACACTACAGTACCATAATTCCTACAATAATATTTTCTAAAATGTATAAGAATTAATTCAGTAATTATGACATAGATAAAAAAGAAAAATCTGCATAAACTTAATGCATAGGATGGCATGATATGAAACAAACTAATACACAGGATGCTGTGATATGCTGTAACCAAATACATAAAATATCATGATATGATGTAACTGAAAACAAGGGATGCCATGATATGATGTAACCAAATACATAGGATGCCAAGATATGATGTAATCAGTAACCAAATACATAGAACATCATGATATGCTCTAACCAAATACATATAACATCAATCAAATACATAAGATGTCATGATGACCAACAACCTATTACACATGATGCTAAAGCTTAGAATTTAGAACACCATTATATACAACAACTTTTTTGCTGAAAATATGCTTTGAGTCTTGCTTATGATTGGTCAGATCAAATCTGCTTTTGTCTGTTATTTTTTTTTAGAATTTAAGAAACCTGCAAACATTTTGTTCAGATTAAATCTGTTGTTGTTCAGGTCTCTCTAATTGTTTTTAAAAAAAATCAGACAACAATATATTAAATAGATTTATTTCCTTGGTTTCAATTTAAGATAAATAGAGCAAACAATACATACCTGAATCACATGCAGCCGAAAGTGTTGTCACAGGAGAGAGGTTATTTGTGGTGGTTGACACATTCAAACTTTCATCATACAATACATCCGAAACAATGTTGGTCCAGAAGGTAAATTCAGACTGTACAAATGTAACTCTGCCAACACATAGAATTTAAATAAGTTTTATTTTAGACTTTGACTATGAAGCCTAAACAATTATCGGAATCTTGTTCAAACAATAACTATAATAATTATTGTTCCATTTCTTTGATAGCATCACTTATGGTTAATGCTTCGCCTTAATCAAGTTTCTCTTTCTGATATGCAAAATTATTGAGTTGTTGTTTTTTTACCTGAATTGAAGATGACCGGCTGCAGAAGCAGGTGGATTCCAGGTGAATGTCTGGGTTGTTTTGGGGTCTTTGCTGGAATGGACCAAAGCTTGCTGAAATTAATTAAAATTTAAGGATAACTTAAAGACATCTTGAATGAGACTGGGATTAAAATAGAGAATATCTAACTGTGGCATAACTTTTTTAATACAGTTTAAAATGTTTTATATTTTTATGTGATAAATTTTCAAGTAGGCCTAGAGTAGTGTTTCCCAGCCTATTTTGTGCCATGTCCCATCTAAGCCTTTCTAAAATTCATATGCCCCTTATGTAGTATTCACATAATTTTAAATATTCAAAATTTGAATTGTTTTCAAAACTTCAAATGCTTATTTTAAATTGAAAGTGTACCGATTCTCCTTTTAAAATATTGAGCCTCTACCGATTCTCCTTTTAAAATGCAAGTAAAATCATAGTTGACTTGGTTTTCAAATTCTAGACAGCTTAACAATCAAATTGCCCCCCCCCTGTGGGGTGGGGTCCCCATGTTGAGAAACACTGGCCTAGAGGGTATAGGGTGACTGTCTAGTGTTATAAAATGCTTACAGAACTCTTTCATATTGAGATCATTTGAATAATTTACAACATAGGACAGACGAAATTTTGTTTTTACCTTTTACAAAACAAGATGAATCATTACAGATACACTGAACCTATTTTTCATGGTCATCAAGGCCGCACATAGAAAAAGCATCTCCCTGGGTGAAGCTTGCAATGCCAAACCTTAATATATAGGCCTAGGGCTTATATAGGGCGGGGCAGTTAAAAAATCACTTGGCACCCCTTTTTCTTTCCGATTTACATGGGATTTTATAATATAATTTAATATTAAGATACTATCTAAAAGAAGGTTTGATGAGCGCCCCCCCCCCCCCCCCTTTTGGAAACGGGGGGGGGGGCCCCCCCGTGTTGGCAACTGGGGGGAGTGCCACCTTCGAGTGCCACCTTCAAGTGCCACCTTTGAGTGCCACCTTCGAATGCCACCTTCGAGTGCCACCTTCGAGTGCCACCTTCGAGTGCCACCTTCGCACAGACTTTATTGTGATACAACATTAAATGTTGATCTCCCACTCACACGTTGTTAGTAAGAAAGGAAGAATACTTACATTGGTGTTAAAACATATGGTTTTGGACTAATGCAATGATGTTTAAATGGCTTACACTAGAGCAGGCTTGTCTAGTATTTGTGACTGTTGTAAAGCTACCAATGCGAACTGCTTGATCTTGACCCTGATCAGCCCGTCTGGCTTGTAGCATAAACCCCTTGTAGCCGGCTGTGGTGCATGAGCTGATTGTCACTGGAGGAAATACATTGGTAGAGCTTGACAAGTTAAACAAATACATTGGTAGGACTTGACAAGTTAAACTCTAAAAAAGTCTAACAAATACATTGGTAGGACTTGACAAGTTAAACTCTAACAAAGTCTAACAAATACATTGGTAGAACTTGAAAAGTTTACCCTAACAAAGTCTAACAAATACATTGGTAGGACTTGACAAGTTTACCCTAACAAAGTCCAACTATTAAATAATTTGTGCTTTTGTAACACTGTATCTAACATTCAACATTCACCATTTGGTTTGAAGAGTCTGAACATGAGAAATTATTTTAAATAAACATCTGATGATGCCCTCTTTGAGCAAATACGGAGTGGACAGAGACAGATACGGAGTGGACAGAGACATATACGGAGTGGACAGAGACAGATACGGAGTGGACAGAGACAGATACGGAGTGGACAGAGACAGATGCGGAGTGGACAGAGACATATATGGAGTGGACAGAGACAGATACGGAGTGGACAGAGACAGATATGGAGTGGACAGAGACAGATATGACGTGGACAAAGGCAGATACGGAGTGGACAAAGACAGATAAGGAATTGACAGAGGCAGATACAGAGGCACATACAGAGTGGACAGTGAACATAGTATTCCTTCCTAGGGACATGAAAGTTATTTTTTTAAAATCAATTTGGACTAGGCTTTTAGGTTCCAAAACATCACTTCTTTGTATTTGTTGAAATTTAATGAACCATGAATAAAATGTATGGTAAATTGCTAAATGATCTCGAAATTGTATGAAGTGTTACTAGAGCCATGTAAAGCTGGACGTAATTTATAGTACTTCCAATCATATGCTGTAATTTCAAAGACTGAGTCTGGGTGAGGTTTTACGTCATAAGCTTGAGTCTGGGTGAGATGTTACGTCATGAGGCTGAGTCTGGGTGAGTTGTTATGTTATAAGGCTGAGACTGGGTGAGGTGTAAGTCATAAGTCTGAGTCTGGGTGAGGTATTATGTCTAAGCCCAAGTCTTGGTGAGGTGCTACGTCATAAGCCTGAGTTTGGGTGAGGTGTTACGTCTAAGCCCAAGTCTTGGTGAGGTGTTGTTTTAAAGAAAATCAAAATACTCCCCAATGATTAATATGTCCAACTGCCAATTTCTAATACCGACAACTCGGAATGACGTCCATATGTGTTGTCGTTGTATGTGTGTCCTGGTCACCGCTCTTGACCAACCATATATTGGGTACAGGTCTCACATGTTGGGTCCTGGTTACTGCTCTTGACCATCCAAATGTCGGGTTCTGGTCTCACTGCTCTTGACTACTTACGAATCCATTTAAAAAAGACTACCTTAAATATTACGCTTACTTTTCCCGGCATTCACCTACAGAACCGAAGCTTACATGACTGAACCAACGTAGGTTGCCAAAGACTAATGGAAGGAACCAGTGGATTTTTAATTACACCTTAAAACTTCAAGTTTTTCCCCCCTTTCATAATTCTATAATATCTATTCAGTGTACGACATGGCAGGATGGCGAATTGGTTTTAGACTAACTTTTCTTGTCCTTTTTATGTCACTATTTTATGTGATATGTTGTAACTGCCTCTGCAAGGGATCTTGGATATCAAAGGAGTTGTGATGTTATTTATTTTTTTTTTATTTGGGGGTGGGGCTGGTGACGTCCAACTTTGAATGTAGGAGACAAAAAAAAATTAAAAATGGCAGCTGGCCTCCAAAAGTCACTTGACGGCTAAAAGTATATGACAAAAGATCACCGTGAACAAGTTTAATAATTAGTGGAATATGCAAGAGGATAAAATAAACAAGTTTACCTTTAACAGACTTGCCAGGAGCATACGTCGAAGGACTGAAGGTAAGTTTGTAGCCTGGAGCTGATGTTCGGGGGGCCGTGCCTCCATGAACAGGTTTAAGATTATCACAAGCACTGTCAACATTTTGTCCATCTGGATAACAGTGGATTTGAGCTGTCATCGTGACGATGACTAAGAGGGTGCCGACGCCAGGATGCGCGTACATGTTTTCTGAAAAGAGGATGCAATCATTTTTATTGGTTGCATTTATGAAAAGAGCCAAAACAAATATTTTTTGAAGTTTTGACTGAAACAACTGTCTACATAATGGCTAATAATAATAGCAAGTTTTCTGAATTTCTTTCTCCCCTACGATCTGTTTCAGGATCTGAACTCAGATCCCTCACTCCCTTATTCGGTATTTTGAAGAGCGACCTGATGTTATTCACGATGTTTTTGAAGTTTTTAACAGTCTCTATTTGTTGGTCGACAACTTGCCATCTATTCAAGAGAACAGATTAAATATTTAATAATAATAATAATAGTAAAGTTTATTTGAAAAACACGCTTCATTCCCAAAAGCTCCAAAAGCGGTACAAAGTCAACCATATTAGAAAGAGAAATAAAAACAATCTAAAATTTACCACATTTAAAAAAACAGACGCAACAATATAAAACTACATACGAGCATACCCAGTCAAAGTCTTTCATCCCGTTTCAACCATAAGCATCACAAGCCAATATACATTAAATGGAAAAAGATGATAGATAGCATCACCCCAGAAATTTTTTGCGAAATAGATGTGTTTTTAAATCGGTTTTAAAGGACTCCAGTGTCTGGCTGTTTCTAAGAGCGACTGGAAGGGCGTTCCAAATTGTTGGGCCGGCAAATGCAAAAGTGCGCTTTCCGTAAGTCTCAAGGCGAACACACGGTATCGATATTTTGCCACTATCGGATGAGCGGAGCTCTCTAGTGGGTACATAAGGCGTCATGAGTGCTTTGAGATAAGATGGCGCCAGGTCATGTAAGCAGCGGTAGCACAAAGTTGCAATTGTGTACTCTATGCGAGCGCGGACCGGCAGCCAGTGCAGCTCTCTCAGAAATGTTTTAGCATGGTCGAATTTGCGTTTGCGAAGAACAATGCGAGCCGCATTATTCTGTGCTCTTTGAATTTTATCCAGGAGCTTAGCTGGGAAACCCACCATGAGAGCATTGCAGTAGTCCATGCGTGATAACACAAATGCAGACATCAGCCTCTTTGATGCATCTAACGTTAAGAAAGGTCTTATATGACTAATCCTGAGCAGCTCTAGGAAAATTGCCTTGCAAAGCATGTTAATATGATTTTCCATAGTTAGTGTTCTGTCTAAATAGACATCCAGGTCTCGCACTGTATGAGCAAACTCAATCTGCATACCTGAGAGAGTAGGTGATTTTGTGTTTTTCACAGATTTTTTTTTCTGAGCAATGGCAATGGGGATCAGCTCAGTCTTTTCATCATTCAATTTGAGCTTGTTTAAGGTCATCCAGTGATTAACTGACTCCACTGTCTTCTGCGTCGTACTAAGAAGTTGAGAGACTGAGAGGGGATCACGGATTGATGAAGTTGTGTATCGTCCACGAACATGTGATACAGCATGTGAAATTGCTTGATCACTGCACCCAGTGGCTGAACGTACATAGTGAAAAGCATCGGGTCTATGAACGAGCCCTGGGGTACTCCGAATTCAATTATAGATTGCTTCGAGGTCAAGCCGTTTGAAATAACTGACTGGACCCGATTTGTCATATACGAGTGAAACCATCTCAGGACGGTATCTGTTAGATCGAACGTTTTTTGCAGACGCTGGAGCAGTATGCCGTGGTCAAGCGTATCGAAAGCTGCCGATAAATCGAGTAAAGACAAAATGGATACCTGGCCCTCATCACAAGACGACAGAGGGTCGTTTGTGACGCTGTCTCAGTAGAGTGATGCGCCCTGTATGCTGACTGGAATGGTTCAAACAAGTCACATTGAATGAGGTGATTCAGTAGTTGGCGGAGAACGACTTTTTCTAAGATTTTGTATATAAATGGTAGATTTGAGATGGGGCGATAATTTTCCATCACATTTGGGTCAAGATGTGCTTTCTTTTACAGTGGCGCTACTATTGCCTCTTTAAAAGTTGATGGAACAATACCAGTTGTCAAGGACTTATTTATGCTAAAAGTGATGATGGGGATTATTTCATCCAGACATTCATACAACAGCCTTGTTGGAAGAGGGTCGAATGAGCATTACTTTTTCGGGGTATTTGCCAGGATTTTCCCCGCATTCGATTCCCTGACCTCAACAAATTCAGCCATAGGAGAGCCGTTGAAGAGTGAGAATTCTGGAGCAGGATCGATGCAACTGTCAAGTTTCGCTCTGATCCTCTTAGCTTTTGCAATAAAGTAGTCATTTAGAGCGTCTGGCAGCTCTTCTACAGCAATGTTATTTGGCAGAGATGTAGCCTTGTTTTTACCGGCCAGCTTACCCACAAAGCGAAATATTTGAGTTAAACATTCTCATCTTGTTCTTTATCTATAAATGCTTTTTCAGTTTCAAACAGGGATGTTGAATACAGTTGTTTTTTTGGTAAACGAGTTTTTGATTTTTATTATTAAATCTCGAATACCTGGGAGGGGGAACGCATGGGAACGGCATTACCTTTTTTTCTTCTTCAACGAAATAAATTTGTATTTATTTCGGGGGGTGGGGGGACCCTTAGGTGAGTTCCCAATATTTTTTTTTCCCAGAACTTGACACCTATTTGCGATGCACTCTAAAGTTTTCCTCACAGTCGATTAGGTGTCGAAATCATATCATGTTAACTGATGTGACCATACATCCAGGAGCGTAGGGAGAGGGGGCAGGAGAGGGACAGTGCTGGCCTTAACAGGTTTTGTGCTATAGACAAATACCCCCCGCCTCCCTTTAACCATAAATGTTGCCTAGTCATCTAGTTTTACTAGTTCAAAGAAAACAACTACATTTTGTTATGTATTTTTTAGTACAAATCCGAATGATGAAAAATTATAATTTACAAATAGCCTAAAACTAAAGCTTGGATTATTTATTGTCAAATCTGTAATAGCGTAAAGTAAAGGGCTTATTATTAATAATGATTTATTTATTTTTCAATTTAATAGTTGATCTCAAGATAAATATGGGTTCCTAGCTTCTGGGGAGTTTTCTTTTTTTTAAAGTATTACTCCGCAAAAAAAAAAAAAAAAAAAATCCATCATTTAATGGCAACTGTTGTAAAAGTGTTAGGAATCTCTTTTCAAAAAATACGTATGTATTTTTAAAAAGGTTTTTGTGCTTTCGCGGAAAGAAAATCCTGAATTACTTCAAACATTTTTTAAACATTTGTCTAGACACTTTTTATGGATAGAAGCTTCGAAAAGTTTTTCTCAGCTCTTCTAACAGTGATTGGGAGTGTTAGATTTTTTAAAAACTGATTTTAAAAAAAGCCCCAATTAAGATGACCTCATTGTATGAAGCGGTAAAATCATTTCTGCTAAATTTGACGTGATTTTTGGTTTTCAAACAAATACCTTTATTAGAGATATACATTATTTTTGTTATGGACTGCCAGAATTAAAAGATAATTGATGTCAAATGTGTGTATAAATCCAATGTCATAGCAATGGTAGGAGGTGCCACCCAAGGTGGAACCTAGATGTTTGCCACACCTTCCACGAAAAAACTCCACAGGTGGTCGAAAATCCCGCCCCTCCAAATATAGAAAAAAGTACCCCCGTGGGCGGCAATTTTTCTTTTTACTTAAGGGTGGCACTTTCAGCATACTGCAGAGTTTTTTAAAATGATTATCTGTACACAAATTAAAATGATAATCTATGTACAGTAAATTAATGATTATATTTGCACACATAATGAATGATTATCTGAACAAAATCTTTGAACATGATTTAACACAGTATAAATTGTCAAAACATCAAATAAAAATCATAGCTCATTAAAAAAAAAATACCACTGCTACTTTACGAACTGAAAACGGACTGAATGTGCCAAGACCATCGTAAAGATGACGTGTAGGGCGAGTAAGATATGTATGATGTCTTACCACGTGTAAGATGTGTTATGACGTGTAAGATGTGTTATGACGTGTAAGATGTGTTATGACGTGTAAGATGTGTTATGACGTGTAAGATGTGTTACGACGCTTAAGATGTGTAGGACATGTAAAATGTAGGACGTGCAAGATGTATAGGACGTGTAAGATGTGTAGGACGTGTAAGATGTGTAGGACGTGTAAGATGTTGGACGTGTAAGATGTAGGATGTGTAAGATGTGTAGGACGTGTAAGATGTGTAGGACGTGTAAGATGTGTAGGACGTGTAAAATGTGCAGGACGTGTAAGATGTGTAGGACGTGTAAGATGTTGGACGTGTAATATGTAGGACGTGTAAGATGTAGGATGTGAAAGATGTGTAGGACGTGTAAGATGTGTAGGACGTGTAAGATTGTAGGACGTGTAAGATGTGTAGGACGTGTAAGATGTTGGACGTGTAAGATGTTGGACGTGTAAGATGTTGGACGTGTAAGATGTAGGATGTGTAAGATGTAGGACGTGTAATATGTGGGACGTGTAAGATGTGGGACGTATAAGATGTGGGACTTTTAAGATGTGTAGGACGTGTACGATGTGTAGGAAGTGTAAGATGTAGGACGTGTAAGATGTGTAGGACGTGTAAGATGTGTAGGACGTGTAGATGTGTAGGACGTGTAAGATGCGTAGGACGTGTAAGATGTGGGACGTTTAAGGTGTGTAGAACGTGTAAGATGTGGAGGACGTGAAAGATGTGTTTCAATATTTAGGACGTGTAAGATGTGCTAAAAATGTAGGACGTGTAAGATGTATTACAATGTGTAGGACGTGTAAGCTGTATTACAATGTGTAGGACGTGTAAGATGTATTGCAATATGTAGGACGTGTATTTTTTCTGTAAAAAACGTGGTCTGGAGTTCAACCCCCCCCCCACTAAAACCAACATCCCAAGCACCCCGGGTGGATGGGACTCGTTAGCCTTCGACGGCAACTCATCTAAGAGAAGGAAACTCTGAATTTAAACCAGGAGCCTGGGGGCCCTCAAATATGAAGAAGAAAAAAACCCAACAACAACATCCAGAGAAAAAACAATTCTATGCCACCCTCTGTGTTTGCCTAACCATACTTTTATCTGTTTAATAGGGCTACCCCTGGTGTAGGGTGGGAAATGCAAGGGCTACCCCTGAACTAATTCAACTACAACGCCATTAGGTCTACGTGTAGAATATAACATGTCTGTCTTATACAGTGGAGAGGTCGTACATTTAGAAACTGACAGAGAATACTAAAATAGTGTTACTTATAATGTGTTATTTAGGATCATAACACACTATTTTGCCATGGTGTGGTGCACCTCTGTGTATTATTAATTTTTTTTTTAGAAGTTTGTAACAGATCCGGCCCACCAGAGGTCCCTGACCAAACACGCCTGGTCGCCGTACGGGGGGCGGTAAGAATTTACAGTAAATATGGGTAAACAGTAGGTAGTGACAGTAAATATGAGACTAAGCATTCTTCAATTAAGCCAAAAGCAGACCCATACTTCCCATTGTTATACTATGAATACAGACTCATAGTTCCCATTGTTATACTATGATTACAGACCCATAGTTCCCATTGTTATACTATGATTACAGACTCATAGTTCCCATTGTTATACTATGATTACAGACCCATACTTCCCATTGTTATACTATGATTACAGATCCATAGTTCCCATTGTTATACTATGAATACAGACCCATAGTTCCCATTGAAATACTATGAATACAGACCCATACTTCCCATTGTTATACTATGAATACAGACCCATAGTTCCCATTGAAATACTATGATCAATATAAACTTTATTTTCATTAAAATCACTGCTTTATTTTTATGTTATTTTTAGTCCCTGTTTTTCCCCCACTACAGATCAGATGCGCGCGGTATGCACATTAAGTCGCGTGATGTATGCACAGTAACCATATGATGTATGCACAGTAACCGCATGATGTATGCACAGTAACCGCATGATGTATGCACAGTAAGTCGCGTGATGTATGCACAGTAAGCCGCGTGATGTATGCACAGTAAGTCGCGTGATGTATGCACAGTAACCACATGATGTATGCACAGTAAGTCGCGTGATGTATGCACAGTAAGCCGCATGATGTATGCACAGTAAGCCGCATGATGTATGCACAGTAAGCCGCATGATGTATGCACAGTAAGCCGCATGATGTACGCACAGTAAGCCGCATGATGTATGCACAGTAAGCCGCATGATGTATGCACAGTAAGCCGCATGATGTATGCACAGTAAGCCGCATGATGTATGCACAGTAAGCCGCATGATGTATGCACAGTAAGCCGCATGATGTATGCACAGTAAGCCGCATGATGTATGCACAGTAAGCCGCATGATGTATGCACAGTAAGCCGCATGATGTATGCACAGTAAGCCGCATGATGTATGCACAGTAAGCCGCATGATGTATGCACAGTAAGCCGCATGATGTATGCACAGTAAGCCGCATGATGTATGCACAGTAAGCCGCATGATGTATGCACAGTAAGCCGCATGATGTATGCACAGTAAGCCGCATGATGTACGCACAGTAAGCCGCGTGATGTATGCACAGTAAGTCACGTGATGTATGCACAGTAAGCCGCATGATGTACGCACAGTAAGCCGCATGATGTACGCACAGTAAGTCGCGTGATGTACGCACAGTAAGCCGCGTGATGTATGCACAGTAAGTCACGTGATGTATGCACAGTAATCCCTTCATATTTTATTCAAGCTATAGCCCGGCCCTCAACAGTATCACAGGACAGGGAACCGCCCCCTGATGAAAAAGTTTGAGGACGCCTGATCTGTTTGGAAAAAAAAAAAACCAGTCAGCGTTTTGCATTATGTTCTCCCCACAAAAAGTTTGACAGTAATGATGTTGATGCTTTGACATTGGATAGGTTGATGCTTTGACATTGGATAGGTTGATGCTTTGACATTGGATAGGTTGGATCCTTCACATAAAGCAGGCGGTGCCTTTCATATAAACAGGCTGGGCCCCTTACATAAACAAGGTTGGGTCGTTAACTGTCAACAAGTAATAAATAAATAAACTTAAAGTTAATGAGTATATGAGTGTACCAAATCAATATTTATAAAGTGTAAGAATGTACTCAAAAACGTGTATTTTGTATTACTTGGTAAATACTGTGAACTAAATCTTAGTAAATACTGTGAACAAAATGCTTACTGGTTTAAATACTGTTAAAAAAAAACTTATTGGGTAAATACTACGAACAAAATACTTACTGGGTAAATACTGCGAACAAAATACTTACTGGGTAAATGCTGTGAACTAAATCTTAGTAAATACAGTGAACAAAATACTTACTGGTTTAAATACTGTTAACAAAAAACTTACTTGGTAAATACTGTGAACTAAGTTTTAGTAAATACTGTGAACAAAAGACTTGTTCAGTAGATATTGGGAACTAAGACTTACTTGGTTAATTTTACTGTAAGAAATGTAGATACACAGTTGATTGCAGACGATAATCCGACACTATAAATGTGTTGAGGTTAAAATCCCTGGACAGGTTGGCTGTTGCACAAACAGGTGTACGCACTTGCAGCTCAACTGTTTTATAAACAACTTAGCAACAACAAAAAAAACGGGTCACTCACTCTCGCGATGCAATGTTGGACTGGCCCACAATCAGGAACACCAGGTTGTGTGTCTGACTTCGTGCTAGCCGCGCGTCAATCTACTGCAGCGCCCCGTGGTTGGACGCTATTAATAGCTTCATTCAAAGCTTGCCTTTAATTTAAACCAATCCTCGGTCAACTTGCTGCTTCTCGGGAACAGTCGATACAAGTCACAGGTCATGATACAATGATTGAAGTCGCACGTCATGACGCAATTGTCGAGTATGAGCGTTCATTAGGAATTGTTGCGACTCAATATTATGTTCATTAGTTGTTGAACGTGTTTCCCGCGCTTGACTATTATAGTTAGTGAACGCTCTTCCCGCCATTGTATTTATGACGTTCGAGTATGAGCGTTCATTAGGAATTGTTGCGACTCAATATTATGTTCATTAGTTGTTGAACGTGTTTCCCGCGCTTGACTATTATAGTTAGTGAACGCTCTTCCCGCCATTGTATTTATGACGTATTTTTATGCTGAGTCGTGACGTATTGTCTATGCCGTGTTGTGACGTATGTTTTAGCCATGTGGCAGTCTTGAGTGGAACCTTGGAGTGATAGGATGTTTATTATATTTACTTAGATATTAAAGTTATAGTTATTATGAAAAGGAGTTGAGTTTGTTAATTGATAGTGAGAATAGTACGACGCTTCAACGTATGAAAGAACTGACGAATGTAATCAATCCAAGAAGACGTTAGGAGTTGACAGCAATGGTACAAGGCATATGTCATGACACCATGATAGACGTCACATATCATTTCAGAATGATATAAGTTGTCACATATGATTAAAGTTCCATTTCAATACACATTTTATTACATTTCATGACACAATGATACAGTTGTATTTGATCTACAATAATTAAGAAAATTATGGGCTTCCTTACATGTCTTAACAGAATGTATTGTGTCGCCGTTTGTATTAGACTGACATTGTAATGCTTCAACAATAAAATAAATACCCAGATAAATACCCAGATAAATACCCAGATAAATTCCCAGATAAATACCCAGATAAATACCCAGATAAATACCCAGATAAATACCCAGATAAATACCCAGATAAATACCCAGATAAATACCCAGATAAATACCCGGATGAATCCCCGGATGAATCCCAGATAAATACCCAGATAAATACCCAGATAAATACCCAGATAAATCCCAGATAAATACACAGGGCTTGACCTCCTAACTTAGTCAATGAATGAGAACCAGTTTATTTTAAAGGCCTGTACAGTTGGTTTTCTTTTAAATTTATCCTTCGCGCATTTCCCTTTCCTTAGGCTTCACGTCCCACAGTCAGGGATCATGTCCCTCCAGTGGACGATTTCTAGGACATACCTCGATGACTCAAGCTGTTTACATGACAGCGGGACTTGGCGACGAATATTTGCGGCATAAACATTTTAATGTTAAATGTAAGTCTTTTGAGATACAATTCGATTATTAGAGGATTATTTGAACAGAGTCTTGGATATTTTGATCCAGTGGTCGGCAAACTTATTAACCTAAGAGCCAAATATGTACATTACAACGATTAAAAAATTTGAGAGCCAAACCTTTTTATTGATTTAGTTAACCTGTATTATAATTTTAGCACTTCTTTAAATTACGGGTACACTGGCTAAAACTTGATTTCATACTTAACAAATATTTTATTCATTGATAAAAAATAATATTGTTTTTATAGAATAGTAGTTACTATCCTAGTGTCTCATTTGTATTTACTTAGTTTACATGTTTTAATAATTGTAAAGCGCTTAGAGCTTTATGATAAGCGCTATATAAAAATGCCTAAATAAATAAATAAATAAATATGCACTTAAATTTAAACCATGACAATGACCAACACTTAATGCGAAAAATGTCCGTGCATCTCCTTGGAAAGTTTTAGTAGGTCAGGTTTGTATGGCGTTTATTCTTAATTTTAGGCACGGTTCCAAGTTCTCATCAATAAGACGCCTTCTCAGTTTACTCTTGGTGAAGTTCGTGCTTGAAATCCCATCTACATGCATAGGAGCCAAAATGATCAATAAATTGATCGTGGGCCCTTAAGATATAGAAGAAGAAGAAGAAGAAGAAATAGATTGTTCGCATGAATATGTAGAACAGAAACGGTAGAGAACAGCAAACGTGAGTTTTTTTCAGCTGATCATAAGCGTCGGGAATACTATTCCAGGCGTTGAAGATGATCATAAGAGTCAGGAATACTATACATACAGTGGAACCTCTCATAACGAGCACCTCTTATATCGAGTAATTCGCATAACGAGCAAAAAAAAATGTTAAGAAGTTGCTCCCTTAACGAGCGACATTTCGCATAACGATTTACGCAGGAAGGGGAAGTCCCTTTTTCCCCCGACATTCATTTGTGAGCCGGGGCTTCCGCGCCGATGCATTAGTCTGTGTCTAGCCCTCGGTCTGTTAGCGTATGGTTTTCGTGTGTGATCACCAGTTTTTACACATTTTGTATTCAGACAGTATTCGTCATTTTTTATGTGCAAAGTGTAACAACATGTGCTAAAATGTCTTCGAAGAAAAAAACCAAAAGAAGACAATCATAAGAGAGAAAAGATAACTGTTGAAATAAAACGTAAAATCCTTGAAAAGCGAGAACAAGGTGTGAGCGTGGCTAATCTAGCGCGCACATACAATCGGTCAACATCAACGATCTGCTCTATTCTCAAGAACAAAAACAAAATTAAGGAGATGGATGCTTCAAAGAGAGTGTCAAGAATGTCTACGAAGCAGTGACGTATTCTTGATGATGTTGAGAGGTCGCTTCCAACATGGATAAACGAGAAGCGATTACAAGGCGACACTATTAACGAAAACATTATTTGTGAGAGGACGAAACTTATTTTCGCTGACCTCGTTAAGAAAACACAAGGATCATCTACTGCGGAAAAAGAACTACAATTCAAGGGAAGTCATGGATGGTTCGAGAAGTTTAAGAGAAGAACCGGCATCCACAGCGTTGTGAGGTACGGTGAAGAACCCACAGCATTGTGAGGTACGGTGAAGCATCCACAGCGTTGTGAGGTACGGTGAAGCATCAAGTTCTGACACAAAAGCAGCAGAGAACTTCATCAGTGACTTCAAGAAGCTCAGAGCTCTTGGGGATTACCTGCCGCAACAAGTGTTTAATTGTGACGAGACGGGTCTCTTCTGGAAAAAAATGCCAACGCGAACCTATTTAACAGCAGAAAAGAATGCATTGCCAGGCCACAAGCCAATGAAAGACCACTCGAAACTGCTATTTTGTGCCAATGCAAGTGGCGATTTGAAAATTAAACCACGTCTTGTTTACCATTCAGAAACTCCACGAGCCTTTAAGAAGTGTAATGTCAAGAAGAGCAGACTAAATGTGATTGGGAGATCCAACAAGAGGGCCTGGTTGACACGTGACACTTTAACGGATTGGATCAATGAAGTGTTTCGTGCTTCCGTAAAAAAATATTTGCTTGAGATGAATCTTCCTCTCCAGGTCTTGCTTGGTATGGACAATGCGCCTGCCCATCCTCCAGGCCTACAAGATGATATTCATGAAGAGTTTAATTTCATCAATATCCAGTTTCTGCCTCCCAACACCACTCCGTTACTCCAGCCTATGGACCAGCAGGTTATTTCTAACTTTAAAAGACTACAATAAAACACTCTTCGCGCGTTGTTTTGAAGTTACCGAAGAGACGAATCTAACTCTTAGAGAGTTTTGGAAAGATCATTTTCACATCGTTGCTTGCCTCAAGATGATTGACAAGGCTTGGGAAGGAGTTACCAAGAGGACCCTCACTTCTGCTTGGAAAAAAACTTTGGCCAGAGAGTGTTGTTGAATGTGATTTTGAAACAGCACCTGTGGATTCTACAGTTAACGAGATTGTGTCATTGGCCAATATCATGGGACTCAAGGTGGACAAGAACGATGTTGAAGAGCTTGTGAAAGAGCACAGTCAAGAGTTGACCACCGAAGAGCTTTATGAAAGAGCACAGTCAAGAGTTGACCACCGAAGAGCTTGTGAAAGAGCACAGTCAAGAGTTGACCACCGAACAGCTTATGGAGTTGCATCGTGTTTCACAGCAAGAAATTATGGAGGAGAGCTCATTAATGGAGGAGGAAGTAGCAGAGCAACAATCTTCTAGCGCAACAAGAGAAATGCTGAAAGCATGGGAAACTGTTGCATCATACATTGAAAAGCATCACCCTTAATAAGGAGGTGGCTATTCGTGCTACAAATTTATTCCATGATAACGCTGTGACACATTTTCGTCAAATTTTGAAGCGTCGGCAAAAACAAATTATGTCTTTTGACAGTTTTCTAGTTAAAAAGGGTTAAATATTTGTCATAAATTCAAATTTGTATCTACGCTTTTTGTTTCAAATCTAAATTGTATTCCAAGTTGTCACACTCCTTAGCAATTCACAAGTAATTTTATTGGAATAAATGTTAATAAAAAATTTTTAAAATGAGTATTTTTTCAGCATGAAACGCATCATCGTATTTTACATTGATTTGTATGGGAAAATTGTTTCGTTTAACGAGTGTTTCGCTTAACGATTAAGATTCTGGAACGAATTATGCTCGTTATGAGAGGTTCCACTGTATTTATATATATATATTTGTGTGTGTGGGTTTAAAGATATAAGATAATCCCACAAAACGAGCTCTGTGTGACATTATAAAAGAGTGTACCTTAAATCAGATATAATTTAGTCCATGTACGTACTGATTGTTCAACTGTGCACTCATTGTTCAACTGTGCACTCATTGTTCAACTGTGCACTCATTGTTCAACTGTGCACTCATTGTTCAACTGTGCACTCATTGTTCAACTGTGCATTCATTGTTCAACCTTTTACTCATTATTCTACTGTTTAGTCATTGTTCAACTTTTAACTAATTGTTCAATTTTGTACTCATTGTTAAAACGTTTACTTATTGTTAAACTGTATACTCAGCTTTCAACTTTTTACTCCTTGTTC